ACAATGCTTTGCTGAACGTACTCGCTCTCCCAACGGGAAGCTTACTTAACAAGCCTTCTGAAAGATAGTGGAATGAAAAAGCCAAGAAGAAAAACACCATGGTCAAATGAGAACGCGAACCTGAGTCTTCCTAACCCTGGTCCAATATTTTAATCATGCTGATATATATATTGAAGTCTCAATCTTAAATTTGCATCTTAAAATTTTGCCTGCTCTCTCAAGCTTTAGAGACGGTATGTATGTGGAGCTCAGTTTGCCTTCCATTGACTGAGTATTTTTACCTGATATCTTTTATTTTTTTATCATTTTTTATATTTTTGTTTTTGCATTTATGAGTTTGTTAGCCACTGTGTTAGTTCTCTGCTTAGGATGAGCAAAACAAAAATCTATAAATGAAATAAAATAAACTTTTGGATAGGAAGTGTTTTAATTCATTGTATGCATTAACACAGATTTTTCCATGAGAAGTTAAATTTCCATTTCCATTTCATTTCTTTGGACCCTATAATCTGATAACCTTAACACTCCTATCTTGAAATCAGTGATGGGTTTCAGGCAGTACGACCCAGTACGGGCATACTAGAGCCTGCCCGGAGCACCGGGTACCGTTCCGGTAGGGTGTTCCGGAGGGCCCACTCGCCCACCCGTTGTCCTTACCTGTCTTTTAACTATTTAGCACTTCCACGCATGCGCATGGCACGTACAGCGCCTGCGCAACACTCCATCGAGCAGCCGGAGCATATGGAGGCTTGCTGAGGCATCGCTGGAGGGTAAGACGCATGCATGCACTGCACGCATTCATGTGGAGGACGCCAGGCCCCATTGCGACCATACCGGTTGCAACGGGATCTGGAACCCACCACCGCTTGAAATCTTTGTAGTCTTGCATAAGAGGTTATGGCATGCATTAATTTTATAAGTTAAATGCTTCTATTATAAAATATAATGTAAAATTAAAAAATAGAGAGAGGCTTCTTCAGATATCAATAAATTGAAGTCATTAAAATCTATTCTTTGAGGAAAAGTGTGCAAATGTATGGCCCCTTTCACCAATGGATCAAAGACCTGGTTATACTTATTACTTGTGAGTGGATTGGCTACAGATGTAGAGTTTGCATGGACAAATATAATGAAACATGGGATTCGTTTATATAAAATACAGTAGGTCAAAATAGATATAGAGATAGATAGAAGATAGATAGATAGATAGATAGATAGATAGATAGATAGATAGATAGATAGATAGATAGATAGATGATAGAGAAATAGAGATATGTAATAAGTAATGTAATATAATATAAAAGTAATACTTGAATAGTAAGTAATGAGTAACATATATACTTCAGTAATAATTGCATTATATAATTATGCATAGAATTGCAGCTATTTACAACTAAATTGATATACCGTATTTCATCCTTTTTTCTTTTCTTGTATTTTTTCATAAACCCACTTTTTTTCTCTGATAATCCATCTATTTGTCTTTGTGAGGTTTTTTTTAATTTCTCTGTCATTATTTTAAAAGCAATAAAAGAAGAAATATAAAAAGAAACAGATTCAACTATTACAATGCCTGCCATCAGAAACTATAGAGTCTATTTCATAGTGTTATACTGCAATAATTGGAGAGGAACAAGAATTAGAAATGATACCATAATAATTGAGTTTCCTTTCAATCTTTGCTGAAGATATTTGTGTTTGTAGCTTCTGGTCTGATGCACTAGTGATGCTTCCCAGGCCTTTTCATATATGTGTCTCAGTATGGATGTGTCACAGAATATAAAGATCTGCTTTAAATTAAAATGAATTCTTTACTTTTCAAACCCTGTGATTATTCTTGGAATAACTCTGAAGGCATCACTATGTAACATAGTGAGAAAAGTTTCCATTATCTGCAGAGTTTGTGAACAGAATCGGTTTAAGCATTTTCTGAGGAATACATTCATATTGTTCATACATCAAATCTTTACACACACACACACACACACACACACACACACACATACACAGAGAGAGAGAGAGAGAGAGAGAGACTCACACAG